TCAAGAAACTTATTCTCTTATGGTAAATTTGATCATTTGATTAGTTTTAGGCATCTGGATTGGCTTGAAATTAAGTATACATTTTGCCTTTCTTGATTTTGTCATCAGTAACCTAGATATCACTTTTGGTAACATAAATCGCCGCCTTCTTACAGATATACCCTATATTGGTCCTTCGTACAATTTTGATTTGGTAAGTGATCAACAACGCAAATTGTTTGAAGTGCTCCAATATAATTCAATCAACTATCTGTTGATAACTATCATTGTACTTTTTTTTCATAATTTTTTTTTTCAATTTGATGACGAGACCTATGAAAAATAATTTATTTTCATGATTATTAACTACCCCGAACCAAGATACGAACCGAATCGAACCAAAGTCAACTTACATGATTATGGTAGACAACAAAATTGATGGTTCGGTGATGATTTTGGCCGAACCGTTGCCAACCTTAGATTTGAGATGTAAATTGGGGAAATTGATTGACTTGTATATATTTTTTCATTCCTATATCCTACATTTTTATGTCAGTATTTGGAAGGTAAAAAAGGTTGTGAAGTAAATAAAGAATTATAATTATTGTATGTGGTGTCATTTTTAATTATTATATTTAGTTTAATTTTAATAATATTTAAGTTAATTAATATTTAAAATAACATAAAAATAAAAAATTATAAATTTTCCGTTTTCCATCTCGTCCTGTCCCCATATCTACCTAACCAAATCTCTAATAAACAGAAATGGGGAGTAGAATCTCCATCTGAGCAAGCCTGGCTCCTACTTCCTACTAGAAGGCTTCACTCCCATTTGATGACTTGTTTATTTTATATTTCTACAAAAGTAAGTCTCCATTAGGCTCTCTCTTTAACTTGTTCTGTATATAACGTTTCATTGGAGACTTTTGAGAGTCGAGATCCTACTTTATTTTTTTTAAATATATTTTTAATTTTAAGCTTAAAAGCATAAATAAAATTTATAATAAGAGTGGGAGTGACTCAACGCAGAGATCGTGATCTACACTCGTCTTGATTCCTTGACTAACCTAAGAATCTCTACATAAATTAAAGAGGAAATTACACAAATAAAAGTATTTTAACTTCACTGTGCAAAAATCAGGTGTAAAGATTTTTTACTCATAATTTAAGTATTGTATTAACAATTGAATATTACACACTCTACCAAATTCCATACTAACCATAAATCATTTTCTTCTCCCTATTCATATTTGTGCCATTTTCCCCACACCTGTCACCATCCTAAAATCGACGAATATCGCCCACGATGACAAGCTCTATCTCTCTGTGGCACAACACGATCTATTTCTGTGGCTCGATCTCTCTCTCTCTCTCTCTCTCTCTCTTTCTTGTTATATTCTACATCCGTCTCTTTGTTGGTACGATCTAGTGGTGGTGTAATGTGGGGGTGATGTCTGTGTTGTTGGCAGAGACGAGGGTAGAGGGAGGGGCAGGTTTGGGATTTTTTGCTGGGTGGTGGTTGCGGTGTGGTGTAGTGATGTCTATATTGTTGGGAATGACGGGGATGGTGGTGGATCTGGTGGCAGGCGATGTGGGTGGAGGTGGTGGTGGGTTGGTTTTTTTTTTCTTTTTTTTTAATTGGGTTGTAGTTGTGGTGTGGTGTGGTCAGTCGATGTTGTCGGCATCAATGGAGATGGTGGTTGAACTAGTGTCTGCGACGTGGATTGAGGTGGTGGCGATTTTGTGATTTTTTTGGTCGATGGTGGTTGATCTTAGGGCCGAACATAGTCCGGTTCGATCCAAACCTACCTGAAATTTTCAAGTATTTAGTAAATGAAATCGTCGGGTCCAAATTTAATTATGGAACCTTTCAGGTTTGGTTCCATACGGTTCTGAGGTTTCGTATTATAATTGATATTTTTTAATATTTACAAAGTTACATTAATTTAACTAACGATATGTTCAATTTTAATTCTTATAAAATAACGTAGTCCAATCTTATGTGTCTTTTGCCTTTCTTTTTTGCTGAGTTTTTCATAGGTTTGATTGTTGAAATCACATGAATGGAAAATAACGAGCTCAAAATAATTAAAAGAGGTGTTTTTTAGCTTCAATTTGATTTTTTCAGAACGATAAAAATAGCACTACGGTAAAGTAACAGATTTGGATAAAACTTAAGTCAATTTGATTAAGTTGGTTTTAAACTAAAAATTAGAAATAGGAAATCATATTTTTGGATTTGAACTAAATTAACTAGTTAACAAATTTATTTAGAAAAAATAAAATTTGGTTAATTAAAATAAATTAATTAAAAACTTAGGGAGCTTCGGTTCTTATTCGATTATTCGGTTCTTGATCTAGACCCGAGAATCGAACAAAATTCGTCGATTTTCAATTCAGATAGTCGTTCGGGTATTTAACTTAAGAAGAACCGCTTTATTCGGTTCGGTTCGATTCGAGAGTTTTGTCTAACCCTAGTTAATTTGGTAACGGCGATGGAGTAGAGGTATTGGCGGATTTGGGGTGTGGAGGAGATAGAGATGGAGGTTCCCTACGATTGTTTTGGATATTGGGTTGTTAGTGATGGTGGTGGTAGTGCAATAGTGGTAGTGGTGGTGGTAGAATGTTATAGTGGTGGTTGTTGGTGGTGGTGGAGGAGGTTGTTGATGGTTGGAGATCTAATAGTGGCGACAATTGTGGTTTTTGTTAGCAGTTGATTGGATATTCTGGTGACGATTTTGTTGGTTGTAATGGTTGTGGTATTGGTGTTGATGGTGGAGCTATTGTGATGGTGACGACGATGAAGGGGTTGGTGGTGGATCTGGTGGCGATGATAGGGGAGGTAATATGTAACCCGTTATTTGGTGTACGTGACCAACTATTAGATTCTTTGTAACTAATTATTAAACTGTGACATTAAAATTCGATAATTTGTGACTAAAAATTAATTTGTGATCAACAAATTTGAAAATATGTGATCGATTAGATAAACTGTGGCCTATAATATTTTTTTTTTTTACTTCTGATCAATAAAATAAACTGTGACTTATAAATTTTTGATCTGCGACCTATAAAATTTTTAATTTGTATCAAAATAATTCGTGACCAATTAATTTGATAATATGTGACAAGTAAATAAGTTATGACTTATAAATTATGTACATGTGATCATTAATT